GCGCCGGACTCATGGCCGCCCGCCACTCGGGACTACAGCTCCCGGCGTGCACCGCGCCGTTGGCGGGCGCTACAGCTCCCGGCGTGCCCCGCGCTTACGTCTCCGCCACCCGCTGGCCTACGACTCCCGGCGTGCCCCGCTTCGAACGACAAGGCTATGGCTGGAGCTGTTGCCACCACAGCTCAGGGGGCGGGGCCTGCAAGTGAGGGGCGGGGCCTCTCGGCCTGGCTTGGGAGCAGGTTTGTGATCCTGGGTCCTGCCGGTGCCCCCGGCGCGCACTAGGCCGGAGGGTGGCCGTCGTGGAGGACATTTCCGTTTTCTCCTACTCTGTTCTCTACTGATACAAAACCAAACGGGCCTTGGCCAGGGAAGCGCCTGAATGGGGCCAAGTGACAGTGGTGCCTCGTTGCGGGGCCTGTTGCTGTCTGTGGCCCGCAGATGCCACCCCCTGGCTTTGCTTCTCCCTGGCATGGGGCATAGGAGAGATGCTTCGTGTGAAGAGCTCTGCAGCTGCCAAGGATGATCTCAGCAGCAGCTGGCCTTCCATCTCCATGACCTGAGCGGCCTTGGTGCCGCCCCTGGGAGACGGTCGCAGGAGTGCCCTGTTGGCAGGCTTGAAACAAGCCCTGGATTCCTTGGGTCCGGGGAAGTCGGGCCCCTTGCCAGTAGCTTCTGGCGCTACTGTTCTCCTGGCACTGAGCCGCACAGGAGGGACGAGGGGGCAAATGTATGCAGGGCTGGCGCTGTGGAAAGCGTTAGGGTCTCAGCTGTTCCAGGGGCTCATCGCCCAAGTCAGAAGCAGGGCAGATGGGCATGGCCCTTGGAGGAGAGGACAGAGGTTGTAGGTTGAAGTGCTCAGCGGGAGGATCCCCAGGAGCAGCCAGGTCTGGTGACATGGCTTGAACTGATTGCTACGGGGCTTGAACTGCATTCGCCACATTAACTCATCCCAGGATACGTTTTTGAGTCTTCATTGTCCGCAGACTGTCGAGGCTGTGGGCTGATGGTTTATGATCAGGCAATTGGTTCATCATTGCTTCCCCCTCTACAACTGGCCTCTATTATAAATAAAGTTGCATTAGCCAAATTAACTCGGCATGAACTGGATTTGCCCTGGGGCTGAACAGCAGGCATGGGTTCAGCCTTGCCCATTCCCCGCCCCCAGGATTACTTGATACCTCGGGCTATCCCTGCCATTACTGCTCTGTTTGCATATCCCCTCTCTGCTAAAATGCCAAAATGAACACAAGGAACCCCAGAGATGCTGGAAGTGCCCGCAGCATCAAAGCAGACACAGAAGGAAGCTGCAGAGGGGGAGATGCTGCTGAGGAAGATCATAGAAGTTTATTGTATGTAAGAATCAAACTCCTATGATCTATATACACTTATTTACATGACAAAATGATGTGAACATTATTTACAATGAGAATGTCGCTTGCAAATCTGTACATCAGAAACTGAACGTGAAACCTATTTACAAGCAGAATTTGGAGGCCTTGGACACAACAGGCAGAAAAATCCAAGGAGAACTGGCTGTTTAAGAAGGTGGGGATGTGCTGTGATAATGGGACACAAGCGGGCTGGAGAGCTGGCAGGGCTGGACAAAGAGCATGTGAGTGAAACACTTTGCAGTTGGGGCGGCAGGGGTAGGAGTAAGTAGAGTGCTGGCTTCATCAGTGTTGTGCTGAGGCGGATGTGCCTCAGCCTGGACTGCAGTAGAGAAACAGCAGGGTGGGTCTTAGTTGGGAGAGGCACTGGAAAGCTCCCCCCATCCAGGCATGCACAGTTCAAACGTTTGCACCAGGATGGAGGCAGGTATGCAGGGCCTGGTGGAGCTGGGGCAGCTGAGGATGGTGGGGCCACAAGTGATGTTTTGCTCCTGCTCCATGTCAAGATCATGGAGGAAAGGTGGGTAGTAGCACGTATCCTCTGGTCATGTGGGGCAAGCACAGGCCAATTTTGCCCCAGCTCCACCCCTTTCTGTGCCCCGAGTTCTGGGGCTTTTCAGGAAACTTCTCACCCAGGCCACTTCCCAGTCCCTGGGCTGCAGCCTGAGCCCGACCCACTCTTTCTGCTGCAGAAGGTGGATGCTATCTTGGCTCTTTCTCACATCCACCACCTGTGCCAGGCTGGGTCTCCCCCTGGGTCTGTGGTCCACACAGGGCCATGGCTCCTTGCCCCTCTGGCTGCATGAGAATGAGTTGATGGGTTTACAGACCTGGTACCTGCTTGCTGGGTGTCCCACAGGACTGATGCAATGATCATGCCACCCTCCCCCAGAAGCTTGGCTCTAAGTCAGGTCACAGCTCACTGAAGCGCACAGAGGGCTCCAGTTTGTGGGACAGGGCCGTGAGGACCTTGTCAAACTTCTCATAGCGCTCCATCTGGCTGCTCTCCGCACCCCGGCTGCCCCACAGCAGGCGCAGCTGGAACTCAGTGCTGAAGATCTCCAGGAGCTCGGCCTTGCTCTGGAAGCCTGTGAAGGAAACAAGAGCCCAAAGTGTCAGAAAAGTGGAGCTACCTGGGCAGGAGCACTTTGTACGTAGGAGCTAGAAGCTAGGTCAGTTACGAGGGAATGGAGGAGTAGGGAGCAGTGGGATTCCTCTGCTCCTTCAGCTTGATCCCAGGGAGAAGTGAGTCTGTCCAGACAACAAGATGGGGGTGTGGGTGGTAGGACCTGGGACTCATGGGCACTCAGCTGGGGATGACTGGTTCCGGGGGAAGGGAGTGGTTGCAGACCCCAAACTTACAGTTGTGGACCTAGCACCCTGCTGTGCCCCTTCTGCCCCCTGGAAGGCTCCAGTTCTGGCAGTGAAACCCAGTTCTGTGGGGAAGGGGGGGCAGGAGGATTCCCTGCTGTGTGTCTCCGTGGGTCCTACCCCTGCCAGCACAGGGTATAGGATGCTCCAAGGAGCCCCAGAGACATGTTTGGCATTACCTGGAGGAGCTCTCTGAGGCTGCCTGACCACCCCTAGCTGAAAGGAGAGCATGCCACAGCCCACAGGCTGGTGCTCCTTGGTGACTGCAGTGTGGCTGAGGTCCTGCATTAGATCTGCCGGCTCCTTACCTTGCAGCTTCACCTCCGCATTGGTGTGGTACAGTCCCCCATGATGTGCCACCATCCGGGCAGCCTCTAGGTGGGCCAACACAATTTCCACACCGTTGTCCAGATTCTCCCAGGGCTCAGAGCTGTCCAGAACTGCAGCGTCCCGCTCCAGGAGTGTAATGAGGGGCACAATGTGTGGGAAGGTAGTGTTGGTCAGTGGGGGGCCTTCTGCAAGAGAATGAGGACATGTGTACCCTGAGTGCTCCAGGCACTACCCAGTGCTGCACTGGTAGCAAGAGGAGCCATTTCTTCTTGCTGGTGGGAAATCATGTGGAGACCTGGTATCCTCTGCAGTCCTGGCGCTGCAGGGAAAGGGCAAGATCTCTACCTGTCATGGCTTCCTTAGACAGCATGTCTTGCCCTGACATAAAAGAGATCCATGGAGCCCAGTCTCCATGGGACATTCAGCCACCAGGGGCCAGACAGCCCCAATGATGGCAGGGGCATGTGTGGGCATCGTTCTGGAGACCTGCCCCTTCCAGGTGGGGCTGGTGTGGGGGTCATACGCAGCCACATGCACAATCACTACCAGCCCTGAACTAGACTGAAATCAGACTTGGAGACGGATGCTTGGCTTCAGCCCTGGCAGGTTTCTGGAGGCGTGTGGAGTCTGTGCTCCCCACCTCGGCCCCCGTAGCCAGGACTACACTTTCAGTGAGCCCTGTGCCCAGCATGCCCAGCCCTCCTGGCTGCATGGCTGCTTGTCTTTCCAAAAGCTTCCTGTCTGCTTGGCACAAGCACCTACTTCCCAGTAGCAGATGGGGCTGGATTCAATGCCTGGTGCACAGATACTGTGTTTGTGCCCAGCTGGTATTTTTATTTCCTTCTGAAATGGGTGTTTTGGGAAGAGAAGGAGCAGGCCAGGGGCATGGAGATGCTAGGCTGGGACAAGAGTGTGACCCATGGACCAGGGAGCAGTTGGACTCTCCTTGGGGTTGGAGCTGCAGCATCTACAGGGCCTTGTGCCTTTGGGACCTTGCAGCCTGCTGAGACTGGTTAGTGCCTTGGCATCCCCAAGTAGGCTCATGAAGGGGTGAATAGCACCAGGGGTTTGGTGGCCTGTGACTCCAGGGGCAAGGCAGCAGCTATGGCTGCCATGGGAGGACTGTAGGCTCCAAGGAAAGCAGAGGGGTCAAGCCTCCAGTGCTGAGAAGGCAGCGGGGAAGGGCAGGGTTGATGCAAGTGGCTCCCCTGTCCCCAGTACCTTTGCCTTCATTCAGGCTCTTCAAAAAGGGCTTCAGCTTCTTCTCATAGAGGATGGCACCCTCCGTGTGCCTCTGGCGCAGCGCCATCCAGGTCTGTTCCAGCCGTGAGATCTGCGTGTGGAAGCAGAGTGGGGAGCTGATCTTTGTGCTCTCAGCTCCACGAGGCCCCTGGGTTCACAACTGGCAGTTGCATGGGACTAGGCAGGGCAGGGAATGGGCTAGCGCAGTGGGGCTTTGGGGAGTCACTGCACACAGCTTGGCCGCAGCCTTTCACTGCTGGCCGTGCTCTTCCAGGCCATTCCAGTGGTATCTAGCTCACACCCCTCACTCCTAAACCTGCAAGGCTGAGCTGCTCAGATCCAGCCCTGGCCCCAGGGCCCTGAGAGCACCCCTCCCTGACATCTGGCTGCCTGCAGGCCGGAGTGGATCATACACAGAATTGTAATCCCCCTTCATTT